TTGGTCAAGAGTGCAGCAAGCAGTATGCTGATATTGGAAATGGGCTCAAAATCCTCTGGTTTGGAGTCCTCAGCCTAGACAGCTATACCATGAGTACACGTAAAGCTGCAGTATTTCAAATGATCAGTGGTGCGCAAAATTGTATCTTTTATTTCCTCTTTCCACATAAAACCCGGCTAAAATCCCAAAACATTGTTTGACTTCGGCTGGGCTCTTCGCCGTCTCATTCTTAAGAAGGCAACAAGGTTTCCAAATAGGAGGGGGGTATTTGCCCCATCAAGCTTGTTTGGTTTCCAGTTAGCTTCTGTCTGGTTTCTTCAAGAAAGCCAACTGATTGTTTCCGACCCCCACAGACCTTTGTAAGACGTGTAAAGACGTGCCTTCTGTTCTTCCCTTTGCTTTGCAGTTACATCCTTGGGTGTGTGCTTTACTGGCACGAAATGACTTAGGCCATTCACTTTTAGGCAGGAGGGTGCAGGTTTTCCAGTGCAGCAGTGACGCTGAAATGGTGCCCTGCTGTGCTGCATGTGGCCCGTTGCATCCATGGCCCTGGGCCGTGAGAGCTGGAGGAGCGGTGCCTCAGTGCGTCTGCTTGTGTGCTTGCAGGTCTCATGCCCGCCCGCAGCCATGTTCAGTAAGAAGAAGAAGCAGCGCATCCAGATCTCGGCGCCCTCCAACTTCGAGCACCGCGTGCACACGGACTTCGACGAGCAGGAGCAGAGGTTTGTGGGCCTGCCGCGGCAATGGCAGAGCCTGATCGAGGAGTCTGCCCGCAGGCCCAAGCCCTTCATCGATGCCTCGGTCATCACCACCGTCGAGCCGCGCAAGGTGAGGGACCCTCGCCCCTGGCCGGGCCAGTGCTGCTGGTCAGCTGAAGCTCCGAAGGGGCTGAAAAGCAGCGCTCAAGGGAGCAGAGACTTGAGCTGTTGGATACTTCTGTCCAACCTGGGGTCAATATTGTTACGTTTGATTTTTTTTTTCACGACATTCGTGATCCAGATATAGCGTTGGGAAGATATTCCAATCTAGTTTTTTTTTTTACAAATACGTGTTATTGGAAAGTCTGTCAGGAAGCTGGCCCACCCGATGGGACTGCCCTTGTTTTCGATGTTAAAATCTTTGGGTTTTTCCATGTAGTTCTAACAGGACTGCATATTGCTGTCTGTTTTTTGTGAGTGTGGTAGAAAATTGGTTATTAAAATATACAGCTTTTCAATTTAGATCAAATATGATAGGTCAAATTGAATATATTCAAATTTGAGCAGAAACTGTGACATATATTTGATATGTTAACAGCAGCAAATAGAACTGGTTACTGATAAAATCCTTAGACCATAGGTTAACAAGCTCTGAATTCAAGAGAATAACTTAATATTAACATTATTAATATTTCAAGTATATATGGCCTGGAAGAAAAAGTCTAAATAGCCCTGTTAAATGGAAAAGGTAGGTTGCATTAGTGTTTCTGAATGCTGCTGTTTTATTAAATTGATAGTAATGTATTATTAGAAATAAGTGCTGCAGTATATGTTGAATATTATCATGTCGATACAAAAGGATGCAAAGTCAATTTGTAAATCCTCTTACAACTGTAATAACACTCTGTGATGCCTGACAGTGTAATTCATAAAGTGATTAGCCAGTGCCTTGCTTATGATGCCTTTTAATAAAACCCTGAACTAAATAATCCTCTGAAAGAGACTGAAATATTTCAGATTCATGTCAGGGAAAGGGAGTTGTGTAGGATGAGAAGCTGAGTTGACTCAGGGGTGTGAGTCTGGTTAAGCTTTTCTGTGGAAACAACTGGGCTGTTGCCATTTAACTAATCAGTCAGTCGATAAAAAAAAGTGCTTTTCTTCAGGCTGCAGTCGTGAGAGAGCTTGGTGTGAAGGGCGGGTGATATATTTAACCAAGCTCTTTGAAGAAGGGTTGTGTGTCCCTTTACTTTTTTTTAACCATTCTGATGGTCTGTCTTTACTTTGTGATGTAGTCCAGGGTCTAATCCAGTAAAAATCAATGCTGCTCGCCAGTCAATATCCACGTCCCAGTTACAACCAGAACCTCCCAGACATTGAGAAGCTCCCCAGTGGCTGTGCTGGGAAACCTCATTCTAAAAGCAATCCAGTTTATTTATAAATCCTTTAACAGAATTTATCTAGAGGTCTGGCTTTCAGAAAGGCAGATATATTTCAGTGATGCCTGGAACGGACTGTGGAAGCCAGGAAGACAAATTACAGGGAGAGTGATATTTCTTTATACAGATGGCCTAAATTG